CCCCCCCCCCCCCCCCCCCAAACTGACAGTAACGTGTGGGAATTCAAACGTTCCTTGACAGCTGAATTAAACCCGGCTCAACCCGATCGACCTGGCCTCCTCTCAACCCGCTCCCCGAGCTGATCCCGACAATAGAGGCTGATCCACATGGCCATTCTGTGTGCGGCTCACTCCCATAATCTAATCCATCTCTCTACCCCCCCCCTCCTCTTTATCTCCCTGTAAATACGTTAATCACGGCGGTCTGCGGCGCATAAAGCTGCTCTTTAGGAGGAATCTTGCCCACAACGAGCTGACAGGGGGCTGTATCCTCTCTCACCTTCTTCAAGGAGGGGAAATGCCACGGAGCAAAGAGAGGCACGTCCTCTGCACAAATGTGAAAAGCAGACCTGCTGACCAGGGGGAGGCAGCCACAACTTCAATTTAAATGAATGTTTTATTTTGTTCATTTTCGACAACGTAGAAGGATTTAGGAACAATTTCATTTCAATCAGTTCTTTACAAATCTCAATCAATCTCAATGCTACCCAGAGTCCAGAAGAACCTCAACTGGCTCCTTCCAGAGCTGAAGAGCAGCTTATGAACTCTGCTTGAGCTTCTTACCCCGTCCCCTGTCCCCGTGCATTGGTGTTGTCATGGAGCAAAGCGTCATTATGGGCAGATTTTGAGACAATGGGCCCCCGGGCACAGTCATGCAAGAAGACCCACCACCTCTTGGAGCGAGACACAAGCTTGGAGCCTCTTTTTGTTGTTTTTTGCATTTCTTTGCAGTTTTTATGTGTCTCTTTGTGTTTTATTTGTGCCTCTTTGTCATTTGTGTCTATTTTTGTTGTAACGTTGTGTCTCTGTGTAATCATCTGGTATCTCTTTTTAGTTATTTTGTGTATTTCTGTGATCATTTTGTGTCTCTTTGTTTTTTTTGTGTCTCTTTGTAGTCAATTTGTATCTGTGTTTTTAAAGTGTGTCTTGGTGGCATCTGTGTCTCTTTGTATTACATTTCTTTCTCCTTTTTTGCTTATTTTATGTCTCACTTCAGTCATTTTTTGTCTCTTTCATTGTGCCAAATACAAACGCCCTAAAAGCCTCAATAGAAAAATGTTGGTTATTTTGTGTATGGGCCTGACTAGACAACGATAGAAACATACTTTTAATCTAATGTCCAGAGAGCTTGGCCAGAAGCACCCTCACGTATGAGGTCAGAGCCTGATGTTAAAAGAATGACATCATCTGCGAAAAAGGAAACAATCACAAAAATGGTGCCTCCCTTGCAAGTGTCATCTCCTTTTCAGTTGTATAATATCAATTCCAAATATTTTGTATCAAGCAAAAACACAACATAAGTAATGATTGGATGCAAGCTTTGTTTTCTGTATTATAGGAGCGAGCTTGTTCCATAAATTGCTCTGGTCTTGTCCTGTCATATTTCAAAGTTGTTCAATTTCTGTGATATTTAGATTTGATAACTTTTCTGAGCCGCAGCAGTATTCAGTACTGTAAACAAAGCAAAAGTGAACTTTGCAGGGAGAGGAGAGAAAAGACAGCAAGTCATTTAAAGTTGTTGTGACAGAAGTAAATTATACGTGCTGCAGTCGTTCCTAACGGCGTGTCATTGCACGCTTTGTTTGTCTCTAAAATAAATTGCTTTGTGAAAGTAGCTTTGGTCAGCCGACCTGTAGAAGCACAAATATTGATGATTGGACAACCAGCCTGAGAGACAGTGCAGGCCTACAGGGTGGGCTGGGTGGGTGGGGGGGGGGAAGTACAATTAATCTCTAAGGAGATGGATCTATAGTAATAATAAACTTGTGAAGGGTACTTCTGCAAGGCACTTGGAGCTATCAACAAGCCAGTGCCAGAACATTTTGTCCAACTGCCAGAACAATCTTAACTTTTACAACCATCTAATTCATCTTTTATTATCCCTTCTCTTCTCCCAACAACGTATACACCAGGAGGGGACGAGAGTCAAACAGGGTGAAATCAGTTTTACTCAGATACAAATGAGGCGTCAGTGGCATCGTTAATGTTTTAAAGGTCGTTGTAGCGTCTGTTTTTAAAACAGATTCTATGCCAGAGTATATTAGAAGGTAAAGCAGCACCCTGTGTCAGGCTTGAATGTAATTCCGTTTGTAATTCCGTTTCTAGTGCCTGTTTTTGGATTAGTTTATTTGTTTGTAGATTTTGATCCCACATGATCTGTGGATTTTGTTTCACTGTGGAACTAAACGAAACATAAAAAGAAAATTGCAGGTTCAGAGCAATATCTGCAAACTCTATTCCCAGTCTATGAAATTAGAATCAACACCTTGGCCTCTGAAGACTCAAAGCCATCTGAACACGAAAGAATGAGAAGAAGAAAGGACATCAATGTCCCGAGGGTGTGCTCTGTTGCTACGGTATGTTCCGTCCTGAGTGCCAAAAGCTGTTCACGTTCACATTTTCTTTCATCATTCTTTTGTTTGCGAGGTGTTTTTTTTATTGGCCTTGCTCAGTCAGCATGAATCAATGTGAATGACACAAAGGAAAAGTGGAGCGGAGGCGAACTTTGGATGCGCGCTGCTGTGGGATTTCAGTCCAGGTGCAACGTCAGCAGTTGTAACATATCCCTGCAGCTCGGTCCTGTGCAGTGTCACGTTGAAGGTAGTTTATTTTGAAAGTCTGTTAGAGACACAAAGCCTCATCTTTAAAAGGTTTACTTTATTAAAAGAACGGCCGTGCTTCTGCTCGAGCCTCTTCTCTATGATTTAGCTGATAAGCAGTAGGTAGTGCTCCAAGAAGGTTCAACCATTCCCAGAGCGTCTAATACCGGCAGGCCCCTCTGTGACTAATACTGACACACACCCTTTAGCTACTGTATGCAACAGTATGGGATGCTCAGAGCAACCGCTTTGGAAGTCAGGTGACTTAAAGTAAAGAGCGACAAAGTCAGCGTAGGGAGGGCAGGGTGGATGGATGGGTCAATCCAGACTTTCCCCCAGGAGACCGCTGTAGTTTGTTTGGAAAATGAGTCAGTCATTTATCACATGAAATACTTAACTTACCTCACAAACGTGACCGAGGCGGAGTAACTAAAATGAGGTAACAAATGAGCCCGGACTTTTACTCAGGAGGCAGCTGTTCGTGTCAAATGTCAACGTAAGTTACGTAAGTAAGTAACATAAAGACTGTAACTGAAGTTACGTATCATACTGTCTCTAACCCAAAGCCTGATCTTTTACTAAACCTAACCAAGTACTTTTGTTGTCTACGGGGTCTTGTATGGGGTCCTGACCAAGCGTCAGTCTGTGACAATTATGAGAAGTGGTTGGGTCAACAGGCAGTAGCTACTATATCAGCTATTACTGTTAAATGTGTTTTCAAAATATGTCTTAGCAAATCACGAATGAAAGCCTGCTAAAATCATTGTTCCCTGTACTGTAATGCATCACATGGTAAATTCCATCAGTACAAGAACAAAGGCAATTCCTACTCACCACTGCTCTGAACTCGTCTTTTTTCCCTCACTAATAAATTCCGCTTCTAGTCTGCTCCTCTTTCTATCTGTGGAGTTGGATCAAACACCGGTCCTTCACTCAGGAGACCGCATTTCGTGCCAGTGTGTTGATTTATTTGTCATGTACCTGTCGGACTTTAGTAATGCCACTTCTGTATTATTCAAACTCAAAGCACAATAATTTCCTCAACCGATCTGAGCAGTTTTGTTGCCTAAACCTAACTAAGTTGTTTCCTGTGAAGACGGAAGTTTCTTTTGAAAAGACCGTATGCGTGTAACGGGTGTTGCTCAACTTTCATAGGAAAACGCATGAAATGAGTTTTCAAATGAGAATTAACCTTTTTGTAAGACATCATACAAACCGTTGTACTATGACACCCTCCCTGCCAATGCCTCAAACAAATCAATTAAACTCATGTTCCGTGATCGTTTGCAGAGAGTGAGCCTCTCGGCAAGTACCGACCATATTTTACTGCGAATCTGTATCCAGATGATGTGAAGCTGTATGATGCGTGACATCTCCTCTTCTAACTCCCCAGTAGCTGAACACTGATATAGTCAGGGCCACAACTCTGCCTCCAGTTTCTGTGTGTGTGTGTGTGTTGTGGAGTCAACAGGCTCGCTGATTGCTGCCAAGCTGATTCACCTGTTCCAATCTGCACACCTGCAACTCTTCTACTCAACAACAAACCTCGGCTCTTCACTCGCTCTCCGCCAGATCGATTTTGCGACCGCAGTGGTAGTTTGTCGTTCTCTCTTTGGTGCAATCAGAGTTTTGTGCTGTTTGATTTACCAGAACTTTCCCTGTTTCCTTGTGTCTCCAGGTGTATTACCCTCCGACTCCCCTGTGTGCTCCTCCTCAACTTCTTTTACTTAATTTACTCTACACTGTGTCTGCTCATGAGTCCACTGATCACTGTCTGCAACGGACACAAACCTTGATAAAGTCAAAGCAATCGTATAATAGAATGAGAACAGTATTTCTCTTCAGAGCAGCAGAACGGTGAGCATCAGAGCTGTACAGAATGAATACAGTTCAAATGCACATTATCCTGAATATGACAGACAGACAAACAGAGGAGGTTGAAATCAACAACAAATGAAAACAGTAAGTTTACTTAAACAAGAGTTTGGTAACTCTATCTACATTATCAAATGTCTCATCTAATAATAAAGAAATAGCCGTCAATTTCACAGTTTCCAGTGTGAACATGTTCATGTTCCACGTGCAGTCAGCCTCTAGTGTCCGCTGCCCCCGGGAGCCGCTGTCACTGCCGGCACTGAGGCGTCCTCCATCTCCACTCTTGAGCTCGCTAATTGCTGTCGGGATAAATTGCTACCCGGAGGAGACAATTTGGTGACCGACCAATCATTTGCTTTCAAAAGAAACAACGATGCTCGCACAAAGAGAGGTAATATGCAGAACAATTACAGGACCCGCTGAGGGCCATAGTGCATGTGCTGCGGATCGTGAATCTTCATGATGTCTTAGCGGCTGGTTAGAAAGGAAGGACTTCAAAAAGCCTCATGTTCAAAGGTTCCCTTCAGCTTTACACACAAGCACAGATTCCATACAGCGATCACTGTTATAGGGCTGAGTCAGGCCAGCTGCGCGGATAGGAACCCGTCAATTAGCTGATTTATTTCTTTAATTAATAACTAAGATATGAAATGAGTGTGTCATTACTAGTGTCATTGTGGTCATTGGTAATCTGAAGAGGAAAAGGAAAGTGCCCAGTAGTTTCTTCCTCTTCTTTTGTGTGACCGGATGCTGTTGGCTAGGTAGAGCATATAATTCATCCTCGGGGGAAGAGTCATTAATAGTTGCTTATCTTTTTATATTTTATATTGCTGCTTTACCTAACTTCCATGCAGTGGTTCAGTCACAATAGGGCGGGCCAGGAGGGGGATAAGAAGCGACCTAAGCCTCGGTTACACTTCCAACTGGACGGGTATTAGGACTGCTGAAGACACTACTGCAACGTGTTCTACACATCTGCACTAGAAATCAGAAATGAGGATAGGAGGGGACAATAAAAGAGAGAAGTAGTTACTCAAGTGATTCCAGTCAACGAGGAATGATTTGTATTTTGTTGCAATGAGAGTTGTGGCCAAAGTAGACAGGATCTTTAAGATGCGACACGTGGTTTGTTCAAGCAAAAGTTGGAGTTGTGCACTCAGTCAGGATTAGAAGAAGTGGAATTGTTATCATTGAGTGTGTATCTAAGCTCTGAGGCTCCGTCTTTACAGAGATTACCTGACTCAGAACAGAACGGAGTGGTGAGCAGCGTGCTGCTGTCTGTAGAAGCTGAGTCATTTCACAGGTGTTTTGTGAGTCACAAAGGCTGACGAGATTCAGAAAAAGGGAGGACGACAGTAAGTCGGTGTGTTTGACTTTCAAAGCTGAATGGCCAGAAGAAGTACATCATGAGTCCGTGTGTTAGAGGATGAGGCCACGAGAGACAGCGTCTCTCAGATGTTCATGCCGTCAGGAATACGGACATGTTGCTGCAGTATGGAGAGTGGTCAGGATATGTGGGGGATGTGGGAAGGACGATTGCTGTGAGGATCAGTGCAAATAGGAGAGTGAGTAAAGAGCCTGCACTGTGAGAAAAAAACACAAGATTAGAACTTGCAACTTGGAGTTCCATAAAGTAGTTCCAGAAGGTGGCAGCAATGCAACATTACAGATTACAGCTGCCGTAAAACCCCAAAGAAGAAGAAGAAGACGACTGTGGAAGAGTTGTTGTCCATAGCTGTGGAAGCTTTATCACTTCAGAATGTTTATTGCATAGACTTCTGCCTCCTTAGCATTCTTCATTTCAACATCTTCTTCTCACCTCGAGTGATAGACTGCAGCACTAAATCCCTTCATTGATGCAGAATTACTACCAGCAATGCTGCACCTCATACCTTAGCTAAAGAAATACCACAATTGAACAATCAAACAATAAAACCTTTGAATTGTAGAGCAACATTTAAAGATCGAGAGAGAGAGAGAGAGAGAGAGAGAGAGAGAGAGAGAGAGAGAGAGATCAAAACAAGTCAGACGACGGTGTGAAAGCTGAGGTGTGCCGGTGAAACAGAAGACCTCGGAGGAGATCTTATAAATATCTCACTGCTTTAGGAACAGAAGAGGAAAAGGTCGGGGCAGAAACGTGCCATCTGTGTAATCGAGGGTGACGTGTACAAAAACAAAATTCTGAAATATATTCAGAGAGAGTCAGGCTGTGTATATGTGTGTGTGTGTGTATAATCACAGAGAATGTGTGATGTGTGAGTGTTTGAACACACAGAGAGTGTGTGTGTGTGTGTCATCTGACAGCTTTAACAGAGATCACACATCTCTTCCTCTTCCTTTCTGCTCTTCCTCCCTTTGACCTTCCTGTATTGATCTCTCTCATCACTCTTCAAACCTTCGTGTCTTTCATTTCTTCCCTGACCCTCAGCCCCCACCCCACACACACATCCTTACCCCTCCACCCCTCATAACTTCTTTCCTCTTCCTCAGATCTCCCGCTCTGTCTCTCTTCCTCATCTTAAACTTTGTCTGTATCACCACTTACAATCAATCTCAATCTCTTATAGCTTTATACCTGATCACATGACAATTATTCATAATTTGCATTCAGTTTTATTCACCGCAACAGAAGACCAGCATGTTCAAACGCACTCGATGTAGAAAGGCAGTGTTACAGTACTAGAGATCGGTCTGAAGACCACTTTCTGAAGGTCTTGGTCGTGGAATCGACCACATTTTCACTCGGTCTCGTCTCTCAGACAAAGAAGACTCAGAAGACTGGTATAGACCACAACTGCAAGGATTTCATTGAATCCATTTTTCATTGTCTGATTTATTTGTGGACATCTTGTGGTTGTTCATAAAAAGCAATGGAGAACGCCCACACATAAAAATAACCTCTGCAATGCCTTTTTGATTATTTGAGACATTTCTCAGGGTACTCTTATACACACACACACACACACACACACACACACACATTCAGTATATATGGCAATACAAGATGTGAATGAGGAAGAATCTTTATTTGTTTTCTGTGTTGGTTTTTATGGGATATGTATTTTTCAGATGGATTGAACTGTCTGTGGTTTGCATATTCCACACGGTATCGGAGGCGGGTCATTCAGGGGGACTCACACTGGTCGGCTCTTGGTCATGACTCGGTCTGAGCTTTTGTGGTCTTGGGTGGATTCCAGATCTTACTTCATGCAGACTATTGTACTAGGCAACGTGGAAATGTTGGGTGTGTTAAAGGCGCCCTCAACCTTCACGTTTGACAATATAATAAAATCACAATGATGACTGAAAGAGGGGCATTCATTAACTGCGGGATCACAAGATGTCCCAGCTGTTCTCTTGCTGATGAGGAGGCAGCAGGGAAGAACAATCCAGCATTGTCACTCTGCAAACTGCTCTAAAAGTTATTTTGTTAACCACAACTAAAATGATTATTTCCAGTAGTGAAACCTTCCTTTTTCCTGAACCACATCGTTGTACTTGCTTTGACCAAATGACTGGACAATCTTCCCACGCAGCAGTTTCCTAAAAAGATTTCAGATTTGCTGCTCTTTCAATTTCTTGCGACTCAAATGCTTCATCCCCCGTCCTCACCCTTCCCAGCGCCCTTCTGTCTTACCGTCTCCAACCAGCTGCAGCAGAGCCAGGTCCAGCGGCCGCTTCCAGCGGGAGTTCTTGTGCAGGGCGATGCCGTAGCCCGTAGTGGCAAACACCTTACCAGAGCCGATGGTCATCACCTTGTGAAGTAACACATGAACACATAAGCATCCAAGCGTACACATACAAACACGTGAATCCCGAGGAGTGCGAGATCCTGTATCCTTTGCGGGAGTCTGTTCAGCTCCTGTGATTTATAAAAGGTGCGTGACATGTGCAACATGTCTTATTTAATTGACGTTGAATGACGGCTCCGATGTCTCGTTTTGTTAAATGTCTGTTGCCTTAACTCCTTGTGTGTCTTCCTCTCCTCTTCCACTTGCACCTCCCGTGGGCGGGACCAAGATGCGAGAACAGGAACCGAGAAAGGCTCATAGGAAATACAAATTGGCTTAATTTCTGCTGCAATGTTATTTGCTTATTGTCGCATTAATGCAAAACAGTTGGCTGATTTCTAATATCGACGTCTCCCAAAAATCCCAGAGTTTGAGAGCAGGATATTGTTTTCAGTGGAGGGATTAATATAGATCCACATCGGTTGTAATAATTACTGCAGCAGTAGCTGTTGTGTGAGGCCGCTGGGAGCTCAGGCCTCCCACAGACCTTATTACAAATGATCACCAGGCAGTACTTTCATTCTCGCTGTGGGAGCCGCATCAAATACAAACTTATAAATAAATCAACACGAGCATGGTCCAAAAGTGACAATATTAACAAGCTACAGGCAGCGAGGGACACGTATGCTTTGGTGTGTTTGATTTATTTAATGCAGATGTAGCTCTTCTTAAAGTGCCTTCTGGCATGCCTGTTGTGCCTCTGTTGCAGTTGTTCTTTCCTGAAGTCGAGGCCACACGCATGCTGAAGATCTTGTGGTTTTGTAGCACATTGTAGCTGCAGGGCACAGGGACATCAACAATAGCTGCCACCGCGTATGAGCATGCAGAGCGGTGAAATGGCAGAGATCTGTATCTTACCTTGCAGCCCTCGTCCTTTCTGGCCATATAGTTCAGCACCGCGGCGTCATAAATGAAGGCATCCAGTTTCCTGCAGGGAACGAAGGAAGGAGGTAAATTACACCCGAGAGATGGAAATCACTGACCTGGAGCTAAATGACAACAGAGAAAGTGCAACTGGTGAAGAAAATGACAAGAGATGATGGATAAAGCTCTGCTGAGACAATGACACTAAAAAGAAGGCAGAGAGACATTTTTTGCAGAAACAGTCAACAATTGCTCGAGCTTTTCATCATAGTGGAGGCAGAGACGTCAACTCTCCTCCTGCAGCAGCCTCAATAGAGCAGAATACAATGCAGCAGCAGCAGCAGCAGCAGCAGGGGAGGATGTGATGCAAGTAAGGCGAGATTCTCACTCTTCTCACTCTCATCGTCTTTCGAGAGCACTGCACTTAATGTTACATAACTTAATGTTGTCTGTTATACGCAATGAAAAGGAAATCAGTTGCATTATTCCAAGATGGTATGTGGAACAATCAAGTATGTGTTTATTGAAATGAATTTTGCTCCAAATGCGTTACATCAAAACACACTTAAAAGTGATGCATCAGTCCCCAACCACCGGGACGTGGACCGGCACAAGGGCCGCAAAGTATTTGCGAACAGGACGCAAGGACACGGCAAAAACGTATGGATAAAAAAAAAAACCTGGTTATAAACATACAACATAAGAGGCTATAAGTGCAGTAAGTGCATTGAACTTTGCACGGTCTGTCCTCTTCCCTGTCCGGCCCACGACGCATGCAGCACGAGGTCATCTGTGTCATCATCAACCGCCACACATCACAAAGTTCACCGAGCCACTAGAGCGTTTATACA